AGCCGACCTCTGTGTTAGATAAGCAGCGGATGACATGTTCAGAGTCGGCTCTGTCCCAAATGGTGCACTTAATGTACACTAGAGTGTCAGTTCAGGTTGCTGATGCACCCTTGATGCACACTTGGGTCAAGTATGCACTAATGTAGATTACTTGTGACAGTATAAGCAGAATTATCTCATCAGTGGACTTGGAGGAGGACAGCAAGAACTTAAAGCACCTTTTAACACTAGTGCACTACCTATGAATGCTAGTGTACTACATACTGTGCAGTATAGACAGTATACTCAGCAATTCCCATGATAATATCATAACATGTCAATTCAGAGAGTGTGTCCCGTTATCACGGAGTTATTATCATTAACTAAAACTATTTCCGTTAACTGAAATAAAGCTGCAGTATAATTTATAAATATTAGATCGAAAACTTAAAACTTGCCAATACAAAAATTAAACATTTCTAATTTCCGTTTAGTTTAAGTTGAAGCACTAAAATGTCTAACTGGATATAAAACTAAAACAGTAATAATTAATTAATTAATTAGTTAGTTAATTAATAATAATAAACTAATAAAAATGACAAAAGCACAAAACAAAATTTAAAAAAATGTAATGAAAATTTAAATCAAAACTTAAAGCCTAAAAAGACAAAATATTAATAAACACTTATTTAAAATATTATAAAAAATCGTAAAAAAATTATTTCGGTTGCCAAGACAACATTTCTCATTTTCATTTTAGTTCATGTCGAAGCACTAAAATGACTGTAAATTACTATAAATAAAATAAGTAAAAAATAAAATGAAACTAAAACTTAAATAAATAAACAGTAATATAGTAATAAAATGAAAAGGCACATAAAATTACTAAAAATGTAACTAAAATTAAAACAAAAAATGGAAAGCATATAAATATTAATAAATATTAATTCCAAATACTAATAAAAACTATAATAGTTCATAAAAACGTAATAAAAATTATTATAAAAAAACTATAACATAATATAATATTAATAGAATCTTACTTTAGATATTGCCAAAGCAACATTTGGTTTAGTTGTTAAGTTGAAGCATTAAAATGGTTAACTGTAAATAAAACAAAGAAAAACCAAAATCTAATTAAATTAAACCTAAATAGTCCATTTAAAAAAGCACATAACAAAACTACTAGAAATGTAACTAACATTCAAATTAAAACTGAATATCAAAATAAAAGCTAAATCAAAATATTGATAAAGACATTATTAGTATATAAATAATACTAAAATAACTGCACAGAAATTGCATTTTAATCCACTTGAGTAAAAGTGGTTGGTAATGCTTCTCTTGTTGCTCTGGAAACAGAAGCTGAAGTGAAGTGCAGTGCATTGTGGGATGCAGTATCTCACGCAGGGCGCTCTGGTTGCACACTGCACTTTTTTGGCAGATGTATGCTTTGTCTATGGTCCTCCATTCAGATAGAAAATGCACACACAGTGCACAGTATATATACTGCATACTGAAAACATTAGTATGTTAGTATGGTGTTATGCACACTCACACACAGCTACACAAGCTACAGCCCTCGGCTCTCTGCTGCCTCCTGCTGCTGGTGCACTGCATTACATGAGCAACATCAAACTCTGCTTTCACATGAAGTATATAAAGCTTAATCCACAAGGTCTGTTGGACAAAATGCAGGCAAAAATAAGCTATTGTTATGAACACAGCCCCACGGCACACTTGCACTCTCTAAAACAAAACTCCTTTTTTGGCTGCATAGGGTTCTTGAATTACTAAAAATATATATTTATTTCACAATAGTTTCTTCAGATCAGTGTTTTGGTTTCATTAAAGCACCAGAACATTTTCCTAAAGAATTGAAAAAAAAAAACAATTAGACAGTTCGTTGTGCATTATTATATTGTATTATATTATATTGCATATTTAAAATATTTTTCGCAACTAGCTAAGCAACTAGAAAAAATGGTGTTACGCAATCATATTTAATAATAAAAATTAAATTAAATCAAATTCATTTTCCTTTTTTAGCATGCATTGTATTATAATATTTTATTATTTTAAATATTTTTCATAACTAGCTGAACAAATAGAAAAATACCAAAATTAGTAGTTTTAAAATAAAATAAAATAACATTAATAAAAATGTAAAAAATAAAATAAAAAAATATTATCTTTTTTTAAATTAAAGATGTGTATACGATAAATTGTCCATTATTATATTATATTATATTATATTATATTATATATTTAAAATATTTTTCACAACTAGCAAAAATAGTGTTACGCAAACATATTTAATAATAAAAATTTAATTAAATAAAAACTTATATTTACAAATTAATTTTTATTCAATATATTCATTTTCCTATTTTAGCATGCATTGTATTATAATATTTTATTATTTAAAATATTTTTCATAATTAGCTGAACAAATAGAAAAATACCAAAATGTGTAGTTTTAAAATAAAATAAAAATTTAATTAAAATTATATTTACAAAATCCTATTTATTATATATCTTTTTTAATTAAAGATGTGTATACAATAAATAGATAAATAAATTAATTAATAAGTAAATAAACTAAACAGTGTTTATATAATATATTATATTACTTTTTTTATATATATTCTGGTGCTTTAATGAACCCCAAACACGTGTATTTATTTATTCAATTATTTTGTATATACGGTACATTTTTGTTAGAAACAATATAATAATAATATTTACAAAATCATTTTTATGAAATTGTTTTTGAAATAATAATGTATATACAAAACAAATGAATAAATAAATGCAATATTTGCTTTAAAAAAATCATTGTTTGGGGTTTTTAAAGCACCAGAATATTTTCTAAAAAAATTACGAAATAAAAAATGCTCTATACGAATCTATATGATTCCCTGGGGATTTTATCTTGTAATTTTTAAGAGTGTAGAGCGGATTGTGCAGGTATAAACCTCAACATGAAGAATAAAGGCTCTCACACACGGCTCAAACTGGGCCAAAGTTTCTCTCTTCTCCATTCATCACAGCATCTCTCCTGCTCCAGACACCGCAGCTGAAGTGATTCGCAATGGCAGCCACTTCTAAACGAATCAGGCACGATTGCACGAGATTGCAATTCACACACACACACACACACACACACACACACACACAGGGGCAGGCAAATGAAGACATAAACGCACACACATACGCAAATGCACGCTCATTCTGCACACAGAAGCATTACTAGTTTCACAGAGATGAAGATAAAATTCAAATAACATGCAAATGAGGCGTGTGCGGCTCGAGGTGTGTGTGTGTGAATGTGTGAGTGTGAGTGTGTGTGTGTGTGTGTGTGAGTGTGTGTGTGTGTGTGTGTCTGTGTGCGTGTGCGTGCGTGTGCATGTGCGTGTGCGCGTGTGCCTGTGTCTGTGTCTGTGTGTGTGTGTGTGTGTGTGTGTGTCTGTGTGCGTGTGTGTGCGTGTGCGTGTGCGCGTGTGCCTGTGTTTGTGTGTGTGTATGTGTGTGTGAGTGTGTGTGTGTGTGTGTGTCTGTGTGCGTGTGTGTGCGTGTGCGTGTGCATGTGCGCGTGTGCCTGTGTCTGTGTCTGTGTCTGTGTGTGTGTGTGTGTGTAGGTGGCTGAAAGCGAGGCAGTATCCAAACAATCCTGGCTAAAAGCATCACTCCTGTAGCTCCAGGGGTTTCTGCCGAAGAGACGGTCACGACCAGCACAACGCAAACCAACAGAATGCACAATCACATCCACACAACAGAAAACCTGCAGAAATTACCAATAAATCATCAAATAAAGACTTACAGACAATTAGACTTAAATACAATACAGACTTAAAAACAATTCATTTTAATTAAATTTAGTCCTAAAATCATTTTTGCATTACTTTTTCCTTTATTATTTTCTGTATTTATATTTATTCTTAATTTTATCTACATTTAAAATTTAATTCAAATTTTAATTATGTATAATTTAGATTTATTCTCTGTATTTATTATTTTCTATATTGGTTGTACTTATTTAATTTGTTATTTATTTGTAATACGGAAATAAATACATGGGGGAATAAATATGTACATAAAAATAATTAAAACACAAATGAGCTAATAAAAAAATTAATACATGTAATAATAGGAAAATAAATAAAGGAATAAATGACTTGATAAAACAAATACAGTTCATTTTAATGACACTTATTCCTAAATTATTTTTGTATTATTTATTTCGTTATCCTTTATTAGTTATTTTCCATATTTATTTTTAACTTGATGTTTATTCTTTTTAACTTTACATTTTAGACTTCCTTCCTTTCATTCCTTTTTTTTTATTTATTTAATTTATTTATTTATTTATTAAATAAATACTAGTGGGAATTAATAAATATAAAAATAAATAAACACATTAATATAAATATAATAAAAGCATAAATGAAAATTTTAAAATACAGTTAAAAATAAAAAATAAAGGAGGGAAAGTAATACATAAATGAATTCAGGGCTAAATTTAATTAAAAATGTATTTTTTTTGTTTTAGGAAATCATTTATTCCTTTATTTATTTTCCTATTATTACATTTATTTATTTATTATATTCTGCAGGTTTTGTCTTTTATAAAACCACACACACACACACACACACAAGCACAAATACAGCAGTAACAAAATTCAGACTCATTTTACCATCTTTCACATGTCGCATGATTTACTCTAATATAATAAAGGTCACTTTCACTTCAGTGTCGATATCAAACTGTTTCTACAGAATTGTTCTTCTCATAACAAGCCCTATAACCAGTCCTGCCAGCTGGTAAACACTGTAACAACACAACCATTCAAAATGATTTTTTATTTATTTTTTCATTTCGGTAGACAAAGATTACCAACAAATGTGGCCTTTATTGTCAATGTCTGTCTGACGCAACACATACTGTATGGCCATATGTGTGTCTGTGTGTGTGTGTGTGTGTGTGTGTGTGTGTGTGTGTGATGTCAAAGCCCAGGATTTCCAAATAACCAACACTCAACATCTACAATCAAAGGCTGATTTCAAATCTAAAGTCTTTTTTGGGCCACATTTATAAATCGGACTGTTTGTTTTTTGCATGCAGCGCAATAGAAAGACGCATTGTCTGTTATCTCATCACATTCAATTGAAAATACAAGCTCAAAACTCGGGTGAGTTATCATTTCTCCCGCCGTGAGGGTATTGCGGCGCGGTAATATCAGCAAACTCGCGTGAGTTTTTCGTTTGATCTCATTTGGCTGGCTTGTGCACGAGGATCTGGTTTCTGCTGTAATGCGCTCTGGTCTGTGATGAGAAAGGCGCAGACGAAGGGAATCTGGCTGATTGGGTCGGAGCGCGGCTCATCCAACAGCAAACCTGTCACTTCCAATTCCGTCAGGGAGGAAGAAAACTGCTGGCGTGGACGAGCAACACCGTCACATGTTCACCTTCCTGAAAATGACATCAACTGTCCAGACAGATTTAATCTGGCGGTTCACATCTCTCTGCGCTAACAAAACAGCCCAGAAGTATTGCCTTCTCAATCTCATCGTCTGCACACAAGACACGTCTAAGCCAATCAAATGCTTTAATCTACACATAGTTTAGTTCAATCCAATCGAGCTCAACTCAGTGACCCACAAATGGGTTGTTAGAATCGGCTCGTGAACAATTGGAAAACATGCAAATAAAAAAATGCATATATTTCTGCTTAATATAATTGCGCTTAAAAGGGGGGGGGGAACGCTTCCCAAAACTACTGTCATATGGACAATTTTAGGAGGTGTGGAGACATTTAGGAGATATTTTTAGGATTTTTAGGGGATTTGGAAATAGTGACCACTTACTTAAAGGGGTCATATGATGCTTTTTTAAAGATCATTATTTTGTGTATTTGGTGTAACAGAATATGTTGACATGCTTTAATGTTCAAATACTGTACATTATTGTCGGTCCTCTATGCCCACATTTGGGCGGCATTATGCTAATATTTCCATATAGTGATGTAGATATGTGGGGGTGTGTTAGAACGAGCCGTTTTAGGGGGGCGTGGCAGAGTCTTACCTTTTATAAAGAATATCTCTTTGGATTTGAGACTTTAGTCTTTGCAACTTTACAGATCTTCTTTATGCACTAAGAGCTTGTAACACTCCAAAGAGAAAGGAAAACTTGAAATCGCATCATATGACCCCTCTAAATCACGTAAATAAAAGAATTACCTAGCTATGTGGAAACCCTACTGTGATCCAGAAATACACTACCGCTCAAAACGTTGGGGTTGGTTTGAGTCTCTTCTGCTCACCGAGGCTGCATTTATTTGATCAAAAATGCAGTAAAAACTTTACAGCTACATTTTAAATAACTGTTTTCTATGTGAATATAAAGCTGTATTTTCAGCATCATTACTCCAGTCTTCAGCGATCCTTCAGAAATCATTCTAATATTCTGAGAAACATTTCTGATTATTATCAATGTTGAAAACAGTCGTGCTGCCCCGATATTTTTGTGCAAACTGTGATGCATTTTATTTGTCAGGATTCACAAATTAATAGAAAGTTAAAAAGAAGTGCATTTATTTGAAATAGAAATCTTTTGTAACATTATAAAATGTATTTACTGTCACTTTTGATCAATTTAATGCGTCCTTGATGAACAAAAGCATTAAATTAAATGAGCAAAAAATAAATAAAAAATCTTACCGACCCCAAACTTTTTGAATGTTAGTTAATAACTTCAAATAAATTATCAAAAACATGATCAGCACAGATGATTGTGCATCTATATGAAAAAGTAATACCGATCTAAAGCTCATACATGATGCTAAATACACTCACACTCACACACACACACACACACACACACACACACACACACATCCTTCTTCCATGAGGATGATTTGTGGTTTAACAGGATTAACGGGAAAACCAAAGCAAAAGGTCACGAGAACAATTGGTTTCCTGCTGCATTCAGATCAAACAGACGGATGCATGAAAGAAAACGATGGAAACTAGTGCACTGCACAGTATATACTACATACTACATATGCATACTACTGCTTTAAATAATGTGAACACTAATACAATATTCTACTATATAAATATAAATATTAATAAATAAATATGTGTGCACATATATATATATTCAAATTCAAATTCAAATTAAAAAAACTTTATTAATCCCAACAGATTGTCATAGCAAAGTCAGAATGACCTCCTCTCCTAGGTTCACGAAACGGTCGTCCATAAAATGCATTGCTGTTCTGTTGTAAGTAATCTTAAAGATTCCTAAATGCATCTACTTCCGGAAGGCCAAATAAAGTGCTTTTGCTTTCTCCTAGAAACACACAGCGTCTCCCTGACATGCTGCTTCAACACTAACTGCGGTTACTGAAACCACGCCTTCTTTCTTTGCGTGCACATTTGGGCGGCATTATGCTAATATTTCCATATAGTGATGTAGATATGTGGGGGTGTGTTAGAACGAGCCGTTTTAGGGGGGCGTGGCAGAGTCTTACCTTTTATAAAGAATATCTCTTTGGATTTGAGACTTTAGTCTTTGCAACTTTACAGATCTTCTTTATGCACTAAGAGCTTGTAACACTCCAAAGAGAAAGGAAAACTTGAAATCGCATCATATGACCCCTCTAAATCACGTAAATAAAAGAATTACCTAGCTATGTGGAAACCCTACTGTGATCCAGAAATACACTACCGCTCAAAACGTTGGGGTTGGTTTGAGTCTCTTCTGCTCACCGAGGCTGCATTTATTTGATCAAAAATGCAGTAAAAACTTTACAGCTACATTTTAAATAACTGTTTTCTATGTGAATATAAAGCTGTATTTTCAGCATCATTACTCCAGTCTTCAGCGATCCTTCAGAAATCATTCTAATATTCTGAGAAACATTTCTGATTATTATCAATGTTGAAAACAGTCGTGCTGCCCCGATATTTTTGTGCAAACTGTGATGCATTTTATTTGTCAGGATTCACAAATTAATAGAAAGTTAAAAAGAAGTGCATTTATTTGAAATAGAAATCTTTTGTAACATTATAAAATGTATTTACTGTCACTTTTGATCAATTTAATGCGTCCTTGATGAACAAAAGCATTAAATTAAATGAGCAAAAAATAAATAAAAAATCTTACCGACCCCAAACTTTTTGAATGTTAGTTAATAACTTCAAATAAATTATCAAAAACATGATCAGCACAGATGATTGTGCATCTATATGAAAAAGTAATACCGATCTAAAGCTCATACATGATGCTAAATACACTCACACTCACACACACACACACACACACACACACACACACACACATCCTTCTTCCATGAGGATGATTTGTGGTTTAACAGGATTAACGGGAAAACCAAAGCAAAAGGTCACGAGAACAATTGGTTTCCTGCTGCATTCAGATCAAACAGACGGATGCATGAAAGAAAACGATGGAAACTAGTGCACTGCACAGTATATACTACATACTACATATGCATACTACTGCTTTAAATAATGTGAACACTAATACAATATTCTACTATATAAATATAAATATTAATAAATAAATATGTGTGCACATATATATATATTCAAATTCAAATTCAAATTAAAAAAACTTTATTAATCCCAAAGGGAAATTGCTTTCCATGTTACAATTGCTCTCAAATAAGAAAGTATATATATATATATATGTGTGTGTGTGTGTGTGTGTGTGTGTGTGTGTGTAGCATATAACATGCATGTTTGTACAGTACTTACGGGCTGACGACCCTGAACTGAACGTAGGGCACAAGCTGCAGTAGAAGACGGACACCGTTCTGCCATTCCTCCTCGCTGCGAAATTCACAGCCCTGAGCATCACACTCCTCGAACGAGAACTGATAATATGTGTTGGAGTCTTCAAACACCAGCCGCTGGTCGACTGCGGGGACGACAGAGAGCCATTTTAAACACGCCACACATATATGTGATCCATGCAGTGCGCTTCAGTTCTATACTGCACTGTATTCCATATTCCATACAGTATTCCAATCCTATATTCAAGATTGCATACAGGAAATTCTAAATTCTAAAACAAGTAGCAGCAGGAAATATTGCATTCGAAACATGCAGTGTGTGTGTTTACCTAAAACTAAAACCAAAACATTTTTTAAAAATATAATTTTAATTTGAAATAAAATAAATATAAAATGAAATAAAATCCCCCCAAAATTAAACTTATTTTAAGTTAGTTGCCAAGGTAACATTTCTCATTTCTATTTAATTTAAGTTAAAGTACTAAATTTTATTATTATTTATTCACTTTTTAACGCATTGCCAGCATCAAGGCTATTTTCATGGCAATCTCTGATTAAATTATACAAGGTATACAATTAACAAAAGGTTATAAAAGACACAAAAATTCTAAAATACATTCAGGCGATGCATTTTTAAATAAATCGGTTAGACACACCTCTGAATAAAACCGTGTGTAATAAAGTATATAAAATATAAATATATAAAATAGTAAAAAAAAAATACTAAAATTTTAACTAAAATGAAAATGAAAACAGGAATTTTAAATTAAATATTAAACATAGCATTTGAGTGATACTAAATAACCCTGGTGATTAACCTGAGTGCAGTATTCCCAGCTCCAGCAGCACCTGCCAGACACGAGACGCCATTAACCTGCACTGAACTGACACACACTGCTCCAGGAGCCACTGGACCAGCTCCACACCGACATAACTCCTCCTGCATGGACACACACACGCACCCGGGCGCGCACACACACACACACACACACACACACACAGAGACACAGACACACACACACACACAGAGAGACACAGACACAGACACACTCACACTCACACTCACAACCACAACCACAACCACAACCACAAACACACACAAACACACACACACAACCACAAACACACACAAACACACACACAACCACAACCACACACACACACACGCACACACGCACACACAGACACAGACACAGACACACA